ACGAGTTTCTCAGATCTCCGTGCGGCCGCGCACATTAAGTCTAAGTAGACAACGCATTTGATATGGTTTGATGCATCATGTAACCGGAATAATAATACTAAAAATAATAATAAAATAATATAACATCAGCGTGATGCGTGACTCCGAGGAGAGCGTTAAAGCTCCTCACCGGGCTGAACCTGCATGATCAGGTTAGCGCTGCTCGTTATCTACAAACGCTCCGGCCAACCGGGACCAGACATGAACTTTACAGGGAAGACAGACACAGAGCCACACGCTGGGCAGCGTGTTGAGATGTAAACACCGCATATAATTGTTCGTTCACAAAGATAAATCATTCTCACCGCTCCACAACGCGTCTCTGAATTCGCTACAAGTTATTCCTGCGGTTCACATTGAGCTGCGCAACCGGAGCTAACGCGGCGGGTTTTAAACTCTTACCTAGAGTTCTCCAAAGGATCATAATTCTGCACAGTAAGTTGATGTAAATATCCATACAGGTCAGCCTGTGTTCAGTTTGACTGAAAGGAGGCGCGCGCGATCCCGCTGAGGTAAAGCAGCGGCAGCGCGCGAGGCAAAGCGCAGAGGCGCCAGCTGTGTGATTGGTCCGCGCGCTGTCGGGTTTAAATGCATAAACTATAAACCTATTATAAACCTATCATTTAGGATAAATCTGCTCTGCTAGTGAAATGCTAAGAGCAAAAGAGACGCTTGCAGCCTGGCTTAAAAACAAACAAACAAACAAAAAAAAAGAAAAACGATTTTTAAATTTATTTTTTATTTTTTATTTTTTCCTAGAAACATAAACGAGCAACGCTTAGCCTGGCGGCGGGGCTAGTAAAGCATGACGGGCCGCCAGGCTTATGATACACTGTGGGAAACACTATGTATGGCAAGATGGGTAATAACAAAACTCCTTGTAAGAGAAATGTAGGAAACATCTATTAAATGAAATCCATATGCCAATCAGTTGGAAATGAGACATGTTCTTGCTAAAAGAGCTTTGGAGAAGGAAATAACAGCTCATCCCACTGGAAAAGGGGAGGGCAAATCAATGATTAAGAACAAAGAAATGTAAACAAGACAATATGCAATGGAGGTAAGAAAAGAAGAAAACTAACGGCAAACATTTACAAAGAACATATTTATGGAGAAAGGAAACACTGGGGAAGATGTAACAACAAGATTGAGAGTTGGTCATAAATAGCTACTTAAATTAATGTTTAGTGTAATGGAAAAATACAACAACAACGAATGAGGAAAAAAGTAAATAAAATACAGAATGGAGTCTAAAAGGAATTTTAGAAACAGAAGGGGATAAAGAGGAATCAGGATTATAAATAGAAAATTCTTATTTTTACATAATGTCAAATGAACACATCAATTAGTAGTTGCAGGCCATGAGATTGTACAGCAGGGGGCGGTGTGCCTCTGTGAAGTTGATTACAATCCGACAATAAGAAAAAAAGAAGAACGCGCGCTGCTGCTCAGAGTTGATGTTGTGGAACCACTTTAAAACAGAGCAGTCTACATTTTATCAGTGTCCAGCAGTAGTTAATACGGTAACTTCATAACTCAGTCTGCCTGCAGCTCACGGAGTGAACAGCTAAATTAGTTTATGGAGACTTCCGGGTTCAGTTAGCAATGCGAAAACAACGCAAATTGTCATACAAACATTCAGGTTTATCACAAATATTTTTCACAACATAAAATAACAGCAAAATACCCCGAACCAAACCTCCCAGTTCGGAATGCTGGAGATATTAAAGCCTTTGTGGAAGATTTTTTAAAAGATTTACGGTAAGTAGGACGCTTTTACATTAAGCATTCTGCTAGTTTAACTGGTTAAATTATCTAGTAGTGTAAAACATCTAGATTTATCTAGATGAACACTAGATAAATGAACTAAATTAAAAATGTTTAGTTCTTTTAAAATCCTTTTCATATTTGAAAAGGATGTATTATTATTCATAAAGGAATTTTTAGTGTTTTAGTTTTTTTTACAACTCATATTCACAAATAGTCACAATTCAAAAATCTTTGTAGACTGAAGTTGATACTTTAATTCTGTATTTATTTCTAGATTTGTTCTAAAGATACAGAAAGCAAGTTTACGAACACCAGTTAATATATAAAAAAAATAATTTGTCATTTTGATTACAAAATTCGTATTTTTCTTCAATATTTTAATGAATAATTAGGTTTTAGCTTCTAAAACGACATGCAAGACATGTACTGCTCATTTCACTCAGAAAGTTATTCGCAATGCTTTACAGTAAAATAATCAGAAGTTAATAAATCACATTAAAGACAAAAGAGCATCAAATGAAAAACTGAAAGATGCATTTTTAAATGAATAAAAATGGGCTGCTAAAATAATTTTGACATTGAGGAAACTATCTTAAAAAGCAATGTTTTCAGTTTTGATTTAAAGGAACCAGCAGGTTCTGCACATCCTTGGTTTTTAGGGAGTTTGAGGAGCAAAGAAACTAAATGCTGCTTTTACCGGTTTGGTTCTGATCCAGACAGCTTTCTGAACTGTGCAGGAAGGCAATGGTCAGGTTAAGTCTACATGGATTAAACCTGACCAGGCGTTCTGAGATGTTTTTGAGCTTAAAACAATTATTGCTTCAAAAACTACTAAACTGAGCCTATCCTCTAGCCTATTAGGTTAACCCTCACTGAACTGGCAGTTGCTGTGTTGTAAAGAAATATTTTGGATAAATCGCACTAAATCTGTGCATCTGACTCCCTCCATTTCAGAGGCGTTACAGCAGAGTGACGTTGCCCGATGCCATCCCGGCTGTCACCGCTGCCGTGGCCTGAGATTTTTGTGTACTGGCTGCTCTCTTTTGGCTCTCATTTGTACTCTTTTTACCAGCTGCACAAGTTCTCCAAAGGTGAAGTAGACAGCAACTATTACACTGGATTCATTGAAATAAGAATAAGAAAAATGTCACTGCTCTCTTTTGATTTGTACCTCAGAGCATGAAGCTGGTTTACAGAGAGAGTTCCAGTTGGAAAATGGCCTTTTTAATGGCTTCAAAAGGGTAAGTTAAGATGTGAGATTTTAAAACACCACTACTCCATGCAGAGTGCTTGATTCGAAGGGGTTGTGAAAAAGAATACTTCTTAATTAGATTTATTTTTCTGTCTTTAATCACAAACCTTAATTTGATCTCATAGACAAACACAAGGTAGCACATAATTTGTAAAGCGCATTGAAAAGATTAGTTTCATTTTCTTTACTAATTACAATCTAAGTTGCTTGGCAATGTATTCTGACCATCCGTATCAGTAGATTACTTTGCAAAGCCATTTTCTCTGCAGTTACAAAACAAAATGCTTTGAAGAGACTGTAACAAAGGAAAATATAAAGCGTTCAAGAGACATGAATGCTGTTAAAATCCTCAATATTAAATATCTGGTTATAATTTTAAATAATAAAACACAAGTCCCTCTCTGTATTAGTCCAGTTATACAAGACCTGTGTGAGAGAGGCTTATGTTTGATGAAGTTGATCTTCTTCTTTTTTTTAATAAAGGACCCGTCTGACTTTGAGTGGAGTTTCTGGACTGAGTGGGCCAAAAAGTCTTTACTGTGGACTCTAGTCGGTCATGGCGTGTTATCAAGATTGGCGGCCATTTTTCACCCCAGGGTGAGGTGGTCTTACGGTACACTTAAAGCAAATAGAGTATGCTGAAACATAGCTGTATTTTTAATTTTTAATTTTTTGTCTTGACAGCTTAAGGTGCTTGCGCTCTTTGTGTTTGACTTCTTGGCAGCCAGCAGCTTGCTGGGCTTTAAGGGTGTGGGGGTTCTGCTGCTACAGCTGTCTGTTGCCTTCTCAGTGGCCCAGCTACGAAAACCTCCTCTGGCGTGGATCGTGAACCTTCTGCTGCTTTCCACAATTCACATTCAGCCACTGCAACACATCCAGGTGAGCTGTGTGAGCCACACTGTAGCTTTTTCCTAATGTTTGAGGCATTTTGATTGTATTTATACCACACATAACCTCAAGATGATTACAGTTAGCATGATTTTAGCTGAGTGGAAGTGTAGATAAAAACAAAAATGCACGCCAGTTACCTAATCAGAAGCTAAAACATTTAGTGAATCTTTTTTAATAAAATTTTACCTGGTACAGCAGATCCACGTTTTTGATTTTCACTGAGAGTTATACCCTCAAAGACCACAAGAGGGCAGAATATACTAAGAAGATGTTGAGCCATTAAGACTTTTCTCTTTGGTTTTGTTGGATTTCTTTGGCGCACCCTTCCTCACTCTGAGCCTTATTGCAGTCTGAATTGATTGAATTCAACAACTTATGATATTTTACGGCTGGAAACACATCTAATAAAAATATCTGAACTAGCAAGCCATGCTACAGTGAAAACATTTATGATTTAATTATGTAAACAATGGTTTAGTACTGAAGTTAAGCAAAGCCACACAGATCTAAAGAAACTCCTCGGTTAAGAATAGATTTGTAAAGAGATGCCCTAACTTTTAAACTTCTCCTTTTGAGAAGCGTATACAATAAATGTACTGTAAGACTTTTCATCACAATGTGAATTGTGAATGTGAATGTGAACCGTTGTGTCACTCAGAGAGGCTGGTACAGCACAGAGGAGGAGTACTACCTGCTACTTTTCAGTGTTGCCGTCTGTGGCCTGCGATTCATCAGCTTCAGCCTGGAGCACTGCTGGAGCCCTTTAGAGTGCGGTCGAGTCGCGCAGCTCTTCTGGCTGTTTTCATACACCTTCTATCATCCTTTCTTCTACAATGGACCCATTATCACTTTCAAAGCCTACGCTGAGCAGGTGAGGGTAAAATTGCCTCGTCTGGTGTTGCAATACAGGCTCGGGGTTCTGGTTTTAAAAACACTAAAACAAATTTTGGTTGCAGTTGAGCCATTTCTCATCTCTTTATGTCACGCACCTTTTGCAATCTCTAAACGTAGTCTTTATAAATACATTTTGCTTAGATACAATATGCTGCAAAATCATTTCATCATATCTTTTGAGCTTTTTCTACATTTCGTCACATTACAACCACACACTCAGTGCATTTTATTGGGATTTTGTTCCTGACCTACGGGTGGACGACACTGACGTAGGATTTTATTGTGATATTTTGTGGTACCGTTTTGAAAAAGATTAAAATGATGATTAACTATAAAGGTTTTCTTTAGGAACCTGTATGACTGTAACTGCATGGTACAGCATTCATTTTACTCCATCCACTCACTTGTATGAGAAATTCTTCACGATCAATGATTCAATAAATACCCAGCAATACAACAAAACCAATAAATAAAAATGAACTTAGTTGAGCTGGGAGATCAATACATATATACAATGTTCTGCAAAATCATTTACATGAATTTCTTTCATGTTGTGCCACATTACAGCCACATTCTTGAATGAATTTTGTGAATCAGTCAATCAATCAAGTTTATTTGTATAGCACATTTAAGCAACAAGGTATTTTAAGAGCTTTACATCATAAAACACTTTTTAAGAAATCCCATCTTGCAGTCAGCAATTTTGAAACTAGTATTAAATGTTGCATTTTGTAGAATCATTAAGACATCAATAGAAATATGTTCACCTGTTGGTCAATGTGATTGACCAACACACAAAGTGCATAATTGTGAAGAATATGTAAAAGGATCTGTGTGCACTCCTCTGTACTCTGACACCACTCAATAAAAAACAACAGTTCAACCAAACGGTTGATGAACATGCCGAAATATATATTAAAAAAAAAAGACGTTCCATTCCACTGAAAACCCCAACATGTGTCTCATATGTTTAACCTTCAGTATGTGCTTCCTGTCTCTCTGCTGCCAGATGCGGAAGCCGGCCGACGAGAACAGCGGGCAGGAATCTGTCTTTGGCTACGTGCTGGTCAGATCAGCCCGGGTCATTCTGTGGTGGGTCCTGGCAGAATACATGATCCACGTCATGTACATGCACTCCATCCACTCCAATGAGACCTACATAGAAATGCTTCCTCCCTGGGCTTTGGGTAAGCCTCTCCACTCAGAGCCTGTTGTGTTTCATCGCAGCAAAAAAACGAGGCGTTATATCCAACACTTTCCTCCCACAGAAGACATATGTCGAACAAAATATAGAGATTATATCTACAGAAGCTTCTGGACCAGACTGCTATCACACATTGGCTAATTATCTGTGATTCATGGTTTTATTAATCTGATGTGGGCGACTTTGCTTTGGCAGTCAGTCATCAGCTCTTTCATTCAGACATTTTTATTTTTGCTTGGGCTGAAACGATTAATCATGACGAATCGTTTTATTGAAATAATCGTCAACTAGTTTAGCCGTCGATTCATTGGAGTATACAGACTCAAAAAGAGCCATTTGCAAAAAGAAAAACACCCTAACATGTGGATAGGGCTTCCACATGATTCCAGTAATTAAGGCAAAGCTCTACAAAAATATACACATTTTGCATTAAGATTAAAAAAAAAAACAACACCTTTTTCTGTAAATATATTCTACTCAAAACTTCTTAGTTTTAGCTTCACGCAGTTCAAATTCTGTAAAAAGAATCCTATTGAGCGCCTTTCCCCATACAGTTATTGATTGGTTAATCTAAAATTATAATCGACAGATGCTGTATTGATGTTAAGTCAAGTGGAAAGGCCTGAGCTTTTCACATGTAGATGTTAAAAGTATTTTTTTTAGCTGCAGATGCATCTTTTATTACAAATGATCAAGCATACACTAAAGGAATGCCGTGTTATTGCAGTTTAGACAACAAAATGTTTATTTGTTATCTTAAAAAGGGATGACATTATTTGTTTATTTTTATCTTTTAATGCATTTCTAATTTTGTCTAAAAAATCCGTAAGTGAAAAATCTGCAGAATCTGCCAAGTTTTTCATCCGATTAATCAATAAACCGTCAGGTTAATTGACAGAATAATCGTTAACTAAAATAAAGGTTCTTGCTTTCAATTATCTTTTTCTTCCTAGTTGTCAAAACCAAGAAGTTAATTGTAAATGTTAGATACACTTATTCGTAATCAATAATTTAGCAGCCGTTTAATCACAGCAGTGAATCACGTTCAACCAAGTTAAAGTGCTGCTATTAATCTCCTGCTGTTGCTCCTCTGTTGCATTCTCTAAGTGGATGACTATTCATTGTTGTCTCTGTAGAACTTGAAGTGATTTCAGCTCCGTGTCTCCTGTCTGCCTCAGGGGGTCTGGCCCTGGCTCTCGTCCAGTTCTTCTACGTGAAGTATCTGGTGCTGTTCGGGCTTCCGTCCATGCTCGCCACTTTGGACGGCCTGGTCCCGCCGAAGCTCCCGCGCTGCGTCAGCATCATGCACAGCTTCACGGGGATGTGGAGGTGAGAGCGCTCGTTGTGACGTGAGTAACGAGGGTATCTAAGTGTTAGAGGCCAGACTAAAACCCGGGACCTTTGAGGAGGGGAAAAAAAAGGGAACTCTGATGTAAAATGTCTTTTAAGTGCAACTCTCCGCGTTAGGAGTCAGGTCCAGACTGGCCTGAGAAAATTGTCTCATCTTGAGTCATTACCTGGAAAGAGGACAAAGGGTCATCCTCGCATCAGCAGCAGTGTGTCTCTGTGTGTGCTTCACACTATAACGGTTTCTTTACAGGGACCGATTCTCTGAATTTATTATTTATTTTTTTTTCAAACTAAAAACAAAATAACACCAGCATTGGTCAAACTACAAAGTCTTTAATTTTTAAAGAGGGAATTTAAAAAACACATTCATATTTTGCCTTTTAAACATCATTAGCATTTACCTAAGCATTATTGTAAGATGGAGAAGACATTGGAAACAGTGTGAACTTGATTTTCATAACTCTCTGGTTATACTGAAATGGAATTGGCACATCAATACATTTCAGATCTAAAAAAAAGTCCTGCAATTCTGTATGGATTTCAGTGTTTAGTTTGAAGGTAGCATGATAGTACTGCTAAGCTCCATTTTGTGAGGCTGTTTTTTTGCCAGTGGCTTCCAGATGCAATGCACCAAGTGGGTGAAACATTGATGGAGGTCTACCTCAAAATTCGTTCAACTGTACTTCACATCGTCCAAAGTAGACGGTTGAAACTTGGTTGCAAGTCGATGTTCCAACAAGAAAATGACTAAAATCTTCAAAAACGGTGTTGGAAAGCCGTTACGTGAATACTACAGGAAAAATATATGGATTCTGATTGAAAACCAGAAAAACAACCAGTTTAAACTTTCTCTGCCAATTCTGCCACAAAGAGCAGTCATTTATCCAGCAGGAGTTAATGGCAGAAGCTTAGCCAGAGATTAGTAGTGGTGTGTTTATTTATAAATGTATAAATGTGAGTCTTCAGCAACTGAACGTTAAGCCACAACACTTACCAGAAAAATACCACCTAATATTTTTATTTGTTCTTGCTGCAGAACAGATCATCCCTGTTTTATGCTGAAGGGGTCACAATTGCTCAAGTTAATTGAGAGGCAACAAGTGGTGCCTCTTACACGTACATTATTCTGCATACACAAAGACTGAAGACAACTAGATATGAAGGAAACATTATAGAGGATTCTGTTGTGTTATGAAAATGTTGTTTTGTGACATGACATTATTTGTGTTTAGCATCTAATCACTGAAGATTTAACCACTTGAGACTGGCTTATGCCTGTTAATGTGATTTCAATGTTTATTATTTGGTTCAGCTTATCTAAGGATCTGCTCATCTTGCAGGATTCTGTTGTTAAATTCAACCTGTTTGAGTGTAAGTTGGCTGAATAAATAAATAAATAAATAAAGCTTCCTGTAATCCCCTATAAAGCTCCCCTATAAAGCTGACAATTGTACTTCTCTCCAAATGCAGCTAAATTTAGACCTGGTTTTATTTATCAGAAAGCTTCAAAATGTAGCAGCTCAACTTGAGTTTTACCCAACGGCCACTTGCTTACTGCAATAAGTCCAGTCGGCCTTTAGGTTTGCTCACGTTTCAGATGCATTGTTGCTCCTGAATGTAATTAACCATGAGTAATGCTTCCTTAACTGTGAGCTCATAAAGTGGAGACAGGATGCGTTTGGCTTTGCATGATAAAATGTCCTCTCTGCAGCAGTCAGAGCCGATGTGCTGACGCTGATGCACTCCAATCCGGCTCTTATGTGCTGAGCTGGTCGATGCTGGCGACATTGATAGAATGCATAAAGCTGTCGGCCGACACCATCGAAAAACCAGTTTCAGTTTAGAGACGCTGTCGGATCTAATCGTTGTTATGACAAAACGTCGACTCACAACCACTCGACACCCAACAGTCTGGTTACAGCACAAGGTTCACGCCGTTGGAAGCCCAGCGTTCAGGTGTTTCTAACTTTGTGTTTTTTTAATTTTTACTTACTAGAGTGTCCACGCATCCTTAAATCATCTTAAATTCGTTTGTCTAAAATTAAGGCCTTAAAACTACTTAATAAAAGAAAATATGTTAACTACAGGACTTAAATTTTGTCGAGGTAGAGTTATTTAATGTAGTTTTTTTTTTTACCCTAAAACTTTTTCTGTCAGGCAAAGTTTTGGGTTACACGCAAATATTTTCATTGCATTCAATGACTTGAGGTGGTTGAGGTGGCTAGAAACTAGCTGCTAATATTCCCCTGCTAGCTAGCTAGCAGAGTGTCTATCCTGGATAAATGCAAATTTATCTCCAGTTGGCTGATGCCACTTCTGCTTCCAATCCATACAAGTCTTGGTGTAAAAAAAAAACAACAAAAAAAACTCAAGCTTGGCACTGTGGGGGTTCAGGCTGTAGAGAGCCATATGCAGTGTGAGAAGCACCAAGCCGGGTTCACAGTTTTTGCTATGCTTGATTGTAATGCAGCAAATTCCCCCTACCATTCTATAGTGTTTTTTTGGTTTTAAATTTCATTCCAGGCGAAATTAACAAAAAGTCCTAAAAAGACTTAAATTCGACTTGCTGATCCATTTGTTTTCTCGCTCAGGCACTTTGACGAGGGGCTGTATCGATGGCTCATCAGGTAAGAGACTCGTCATCAGCGCTGGACTGACTAATTCACATGTTAATGCTCACTAAAGATGTGAGGCGCCGTCTATATCAAAATATCTCTGTCTGCTTTTATTGCTTTATGATCGCCAGCAGTTTTGCCTGGTGCTCATTACTCACTGCGCTCTAAAGAGCGTATTTCCTGTGGGACACTGAGCTTGGCAGCGGAACAACCTTTTGAAAAAGCGTGCCTTTCGCATGCTGCCGTGCTCACGTGTTTCACTACGACAGAGCCGGATGCTGTGTTTCCACGCGCGCTTGCTTTCTTGTGTTCATGTGGCGGTGAGCGTTTCTACTGTCGCCTCTCTGCTCCCGCACCGTGAAGAGAGGCTGCCTTGTTTAATATGTGCATGTAATTGGAGGAGTTTGTAGATTTCTCACTTTCACTTTGGACAACAGACATTATTACTCGCTTTTTCTTTTAATGATGCACACTCGGCTGGGTGCAGCCTGCTGGGAGTTGATGGTCTGCTTGTTAGGCGCACATTTCTGCGTTACAGCGACTCCACCGCTGCACGGTTGTCAGAACACGCAAAAAAAAAAGAAAAAAGCCTGCAAAAGTGGTGTTTATTATTTGCAATTTTTTTCCTCTTTAGACTGTTTGACACATACACTAAGATCTGTTTATCACGTTGTTACAGCCTAACAAACTTATTAGAGTAGCTCTAATTCATCCCCTCAAAGTCCCTTCCATTTTAATTGCAAAAATACGTGTTTCCATTTTAAGCAGAGCCCACTGGAAATGGGTTTTCTCCTGCTTAATAGCATCGCGCGCAATTATCCTTCTGTAGATGCGAGATGATACCCGTGACACAATACCTCCACGGTTCCTCTTCTGAAGACGTTTTAATGCAGCTCCGAAAAAATTCTGCCGATGTCGTCTGAAGAGGGCTGGATGAGCGTGTAGGTGTTAAATGACGAGCTCCACATGAGTCACTGGCACCTCGTCTCCCTGGGCAGCTAAGTGCCTCATTCTTTGCCATTGCATTATGCTTTTCAGGCCTCTGTGCCACCAGGTATCAAGTATAGTTGAAAAAAAAAGAAAGCTCCTCAGGAGTTATTACATTTACAACAGAGGACGGACATTTGATCCTGCAAATAATATATTTTTTTGTAAATATTTGTATTGTACTGTAGGTTAAGAGGTCAACTGTTAGAAGTTGAGCAAAAAATAATAATAAATCACAAATGGTTATTTGTGATTTTTTTTTCTTCACTTTACCTGTTTCTAAACCGAGTATGTCATCTGAGAATCCGTTTAAACAGCTCTAGAGTTTTTTTAGGCTCCTTTTACTTTGCCATATATGAACAAAAGCCATCATAAAGGACTTGAAATGCAGAAACTTTTCAGAACAAAATATAAACAAAAATGGTTATAATTCACTGCATTTGTTGGTAACAAATGGTACAGTAGAAATATCATATTGTCTTTTCCTGGGTGTTTATGTGACAAGTTGTTAGTTGATTAGTACAAAAGACGTCAAAATTCCTGCAAACTTCCTCATTTAAAGGGACGGCATTATGTATTTTCCAGGCATGTAGTGCCATTTTAAAGCACAATCAAGTGACTGTGTTGCCTTCAGTTGTTGTAAAAATGCGGCACATATCAAACATGACTTAATAGAAATTTGACGCCTTAAAATTGGGTCTCTGTCTCTTTAAGAAGCTCCTTTTCTTTCTGATTCTTCGTCTTCAGCAGTGCTTCTCATTATGCCGTTTACAGCCGTTCTCAGGAGCATTGCACTAAGTAGTTTATATGGTGAGCTCAGCAGATGTTTGCTAATTGTCGCACTCCAGGTGAGGGAATAACATTTTAATATGTTGAAAGGCTTAAAAAAGTACATTTTTACAGAATATCGCCCCTTTAAAACAAAACAAAAAAAAATCAAATACAATACATATAATAAAGCTGTGCAGGTCAATGACAATCCCTAAAAGTCATAGAAAGACACCGATTAACTTGCATAAAAATCTAACCTCCTTTCTTTTCTGGGTTACATCAAAACAAACCGTCCCCTCTAGTTTGCGAGAGCCAAGCGGTGTCACCTCCTCTCAGGGCCTGCGGATCTGTCAGTCAGCCGAGGCTGTGGTCTCCTTAAAGAGTACATGGAGAAGCAGACATTTGTGGGTCAGGTTTTTCTGCCCCATTGCCCCATAATATTTCACAGTTCACCAGCTGGGAAATATTGGCCTCGCAGCATGAACCTCATTTCTAATAAAACGCCAAGAAGCACACCGAAAACAAACTAATACAAATCTAAACGGTACTAGATAAAGACATTATATGATATTTATGAGAATGATTATTCAACATGGAAAAAGTTGTTAAAAGGCTAAATAGGTAATAGCTAATATGAATTTGAAATTGAACTTTGTTGCTGAAACCAATAAACATGGGAAATAAAAACTAACGTGACCCACCATACCATACCGACTGCTGAAACTTCAGTTTCTTTTTAGTGTTTATACCAGCATTTACTAATGTGAACTGAAGCCTCTTATTCTGAATGCCTCTGATCTTCTGCTATCTTCTATTAATAATCTGATACTTCTTATTCTGAATTTCCCCACGGTTGGTCTAAAAAAGGATATTTCTATTATTAATGAAGCGTCGACTGTTTTAACGGCAAATCCTCCGAGTGCAGCCGCACATCACTGGTCTGGTTCTCTTCTTCCTCTGTGTTTAGTCTGATGATATTCGCCGAGGCTGTAGTCCAGAGCAACGGTGACATGTTCTAGTGCAGCACACCACTTTACCTGCGACCGGACAATATAAATACTATTCGTGTCTTGTTTAAAACGAGGTCAGGCCTGGTTTAAGCATGCGCTGACATTTCTCTGGGTAGCCTTGTGAAGCCAGAGTTCCCCATTTTAAGGCTTGTAGAAACAGCAGAAGCAAGAAAAACACTTTTTCACAGAGCTGTATAGACAGCGACTCTAAACCAGACTGGGGTGCACACGAATGCTTTTAGTTATTTTATTACAGAGTCACTCAAATCCTGTTTTTCTTCTGGAGAGCAGATGGAAGGAAATTGTAGGATAGCCCTGAAAACATCTGCATACTAGAGACTTTTTCTTTTCTACAAAACTCTTATTATATTGCACACACTGTTTGTTGTTGAGCATGCTGGAAAACTTCCCTATGAAATTTGTTGTAATTTATTTTTGCGGTTGTTTAGAGTTAAAACCTGTCAGAAAAATGTTTTCCAGTGACGACAACAATTACAATCAACCCATACGTCTAGAGTTTTCCCTCTTCTTTTCTATCATTGCAGCAAAATATGCATCTTGTTTGACCACCAAGGACAGCGGGAGACCATCCAACTGGCCAAATATAAGAAGTCGACATGCATAGTGTTAATGCATGGCACAGAAAATACAAGTTCTGGCCAAATGTTTAATTCAAAGCAGCACTTTGCCATTTTATACATTGGGCAGTTCTAGTTATTTGGCACCCTGTGCTGCGGTGATGAGGATTTGGCAGCGCTTGCAGATAAAACACTGGGATATCTAGTCCTTTCATATTGAAGTGTTTTTTTTTTGTTTTGTTTTTTTGCGTTTTATCACTTTTCAGCTGCTCTTAAATTTCTCTGTGTGTTTTTGTCCGGTGGCAGAATGAATTTTGTTGACCTAATCCTCGTTTTGAACAATGAAAGTAACTGCTGCAGCGTCCGGCGGATTCAGGAAGTACCTGTCCCAGTTCTTGATCACCATTTTCATCGTCCTTTTTTCCTACCGACGCTGCAGCCATAATGACAAAGCACTCCTCCCATCTGATGGCTCTCTCCATAAAGCCTGACGGCACGTTATTTGAACCTCCTACATTAAGTGTATTGGTGTTACATAACGGTGATTAGTCGGGCGGTCCTGTATGTCTTAAAAATGATCATATTTGTAACTAACATCTGTTTACAGCGCCTTTCTGTCCAATTAAATCGGCAATGATGAGCCGACGCCGAGCGTGTTCAGGTATCCGGTGTTCTTGGGTCCTGACGCTCTCCATCTGTTTTTGCTCCGACTTTCATCCGGCAATATGGCCGAGCTGGCCACTCTATTTAGGGCTCAGAAAATGCTGGCTCATCTTTCACAAACATTGATTAGCCACAGGGAGGCTGAGATAATTAGTTTCCAGCGCGGGGGCACGCTGCGCACACACACACACACACACACACACACACACACACACAGCGAGATGTTTGTTGAGTGTGTCGCGCTCTTCAGGCTCTGGCAGTTCCTCGCGGACAGATGAGGTGCTCCCGGTATATGAAGCCGTTTGTCACCGATTGGTGTTGCATTATGCACATAAAGTGGGGCTATCCCGGGAGCACGGCGCTGCTATTTTTACACTGCATACAGTGCAGACTTATGCATGAATTATGCACTAAATTTTTAATGTTTGATAAAATACCACAACATAAATACTGCTTTTTCATCTAACCGCGTGTCTTGTTTATCACCGCTAAGGGCAAACTTACCCATGGAAGAAAGAAAAAAAAAAAAAAAACATTGGAAGAAAAACAATAGAACGGCAAATCTGTGTCAAGACTTCGGTGTGAAGCTCAGGTTTTCTATTTTTGGATTCATTAACACAGTCTGCTGTATTGTTAACGTCTTGGCAGGGATTTCTGTTCCCTGGAGTGCTTCTGTGCTTTCAGTGGACATTAGAGCCACATTTGACTGTATGAAATTAAAAGAAATCGTGAAAATGACACGATAGTTTCTGTGTCGGGGCTTCCTCACAGTTCGGCGCATCGTTCAGCCTGTTATTGTCAGCAGAGATTTCATCATTCCAGGTATAATAGCGGCATTTTTTTCTAACTCCTGGAATGTTTGGAAATTGAACAAATGCTTCAAAATGTTCAAAGTAAAATGAAACGATGATTTTCTCCAAAACAACCGAAAGTTGCAGAGCCGCCTCATTCTGCATCACTGGGAATCCATATTTACCGTAAAGTGCAGCTCATCTCCTTTTCTCTTTTATAAAACAGATGTGTCACTGGTAGTATTTTTTGCACTCCTAAAAATATAGAAACACACCATATTCACATGCATTATATATATTTATACCTATCCAAAAAGACTTTTTTTTCACAGACTCTATAATTGGTGTTTACAAGTGTCTGTGTGTGTATTCACAAGAGTAAGTAGACATTTCTGTAAACTCTTGAGATTTCTTACAATTAGCCAGCGGTCATTTTGTTTTTAAATGTTTTTTTTTCTGCTTCATCTGGCATTAATGTTAAGTCATTTTTCTGACGGCGAGAATAGAAAACTTCCCACAGTAATAACTTCCACACCGAAGATTATTGAAGTTACTGAAGCTTCGCTGACACTGATAAGAAAAATGTTGGTGTTTTTATTTCCTCACCGCCAGCGTATTTCTTGGTGCATGTCTAATTTTTATTCACATTTGTTGTCACATCTGTAACATTGTGAAACCCTTTAGTTTTCCTTTTTCTTCTTCTTCTTCTTCTTCTTCTTCTTCTTCTTCTTCTTCTTCTTCTTCCCAGATACATCTACGTGCCTCTGGGTGGTTCCCGCCACGGTCCTCTCTCCAAAGTGTTTTCCACTGGTGTCGCTTTTGCGTTCGTCTGCTTCTGGCACGGCGGCCAGGACTACCTGCGCTACTGGGCTCTGATGAACTGGGCCGGCGTTCTGGTGGAAAACGCCATCAGATCTCTCTTTGGCTCATCCCGCCTTCACTCCGTAGTCGTGAGTTTCCTAATCAAGGCGTTAAATTCCAGCCATGCAGCAGCAGCAACAGATCAAATTTCTCCACTTATTTTACAAGGGAGGAAATCATTAGCAACGTAAGTCGTGTTATTACATTTAATAAAGCAGACTGTTGTTCGGCTTTGCAAGAGCGCAGACAGCAGACAAACCCATTGGGCCTCGTCTAATTGGCACGACATCACTGTGAGCCGTTTGCATCCCATTAACGGGAATTTCTTTGCCGGCTTCCTTTGGGAGTCGGCTCATCCTCAAAATAGTCCTGAACTCTGATGGGGCGCCGTGTGAGCCTCCCAGTTTACAGTCACATGGATCATTTGTTTCAGCTTTTTGGGGGTCTCTCGCGGACTAACAACGAGAACGTCTCGTGGTCTGTCTTATTTATTTACTGATTTCCCAGGAGCAGAATTTCTCCTTGGCGACGCGAAGGCGCTGTGCCGCCCTTCTCTGCGCCTTCTCGACGGCCATGCTCATCCTGTCTAATCTGGTGTTCCTCGGGGGGACGCACGTGGGCAGAATCTTCTGGAAGCGCGTCTTCGTTCAGGGTAAATTGCACCTCCACAGACACTGCATGTTTTAATCCCACCGTGTTGTTGGGCTGTTTTTTAGATTATCAGTACAAATCTTTGCTTATGGGAGCCGGAGACGGCCCTGAGCTGAATTGAAATCATAAAACTATTTTGGCGTTCCGCTGCTTTTTGCTCAGCCTAATATTTATCCACACAGGTGCACAGAATAGCCTCCCGCTACTTTGAGCAAAGACCCGAAACTAACAATTAGAGTCGTGAACGTCAGGTGGGCACATCTGCTTCGTGGATGTGCCAGGGCCCATTTTGCTCCCTGCGGTTGTATTTGGTCCATTTGGTACCTAAAGCGAGATGGCAGGCCGTCCTGAAGCCTGTCCATTAATGATAAGCAGTCTAATGTGCACTCACTGCCGGGCTTGGGGGCCGGGGAAGGGATTCAGAGCTGAAAATTCAACCCTTCGCCTCAAGAAGTTTGCTTATTTTAAACCTTTCACGTGTTTAGGCTTTAGAAGACACTAAACCTATTAGTGACGTAATAAAGCCTCTCTAAATGTCTCTAAAAACTGTGTTTCTAGGTATAAATGTAATAATTTTAAATATGCTTATCAGTACTTCACACATTCCTTATACTGCATGTCAAACTCGAGGCCTGCGGGCCAAATCCAGCCCACCATAGCCATTTATGTGGCCCTCAAGACGCTGGAGGGCCACATAAGTAGAACAAGACAGCAGTTGTGTGCTTAAATGTTATTGGATCAGACAGACCAAATCAGTTTTTATGGGTCTAAATTATGTTGATGTGAAAAGATGTTCAGTATTATATTATTCTATAATAATATAATAATATATTATATTATTTGCAGTTTAACCGATGGTTTTTGTCAATACGTTTGGCGCTTTGCAGACATTTGTGGTCTTGATGGGACGCAAAATGAAAATATACTAATAATTATTAAGAAATGCAGCAATAGGAACCACAACTTAAATATGCACAATTTTTAAAACTTGATTAAAATAAAAAAAAAAAATTCTTGCTATTTTCCTTATTGTGAAAACCATTTTTTTTATGTCAGGATTCTTTCTAGTAAAGATCAGAGAAATATAGTTATGGTGTGACGAGGATTATAAACAGCTCTAAGAGCCTCCTCCTGACTCTGATTGGTTGTTTCTGTACCTTGAATTCAGTTGTTTATTTTTTTTTCATCTGATTAAAGTTTTGAATTAATACCCCAATAATGGCTAAGAAGAAAGAAATTGAGAAATCTGAAATGTTGACATGAAGAATCAGTAAGTCCCAGCTTGCATGCAGCCTCTGCTGACGTTTCACTTGTTATAATTTTCTCTCGCTTTGCATCGCCGCGCATGACTTCCACCTCGTGCTCCTTCTGCCATCGGATAAAAAAAAAAAATCCATAAAAACTTGCAGAGTAAGTGTGAGGACGCTTTGTCGCCACCATTTTGCAGACCTCAGATAAAGGTCATATTCCAGTCGCGAGATAAGTTGTGTTGTGACAGTAATAAATTGCTGGAGAGCTTATAGGGAACGGTGTCTTACCTTCTTGTTCCTGATCTGTTCTGAACTTCTGTAGAGTTAAAAAGTAAAATAAAATATAGTAAAACAAAACCACTCGTGTTTGGAAAATTTTTCTCTTGTGCATTATGCAGGTTATTGGAAATAAGTTCAGAATCCACTCAGGTGATTTAGGACTGGAGTAAACGTACCCGCCGCCTGCCGCGAGTTCGACATGTTCTCAAAAAAAAAAAAAAAAAAAAAAACGAAAAAACCTGCTTAGTAACCGTTTTTTTTTTTTTTTTTTCTTCCGCCCTTAATTTAAAAGAGCA